AGAAGATAACGGGGAAAAAAACAGATTATAAGACGGAATTTATTTAAAAATAGTAATTTTCTAAAGTTTGGGACAACATGGTCTGATAAAAGTAAATTTATATACATGTTTAAGCCAGAATGATTTGACATTTAAATGTGGTTTCCCTACAACTTTAAAGAATTAAGTTTCACCTGATGACTTTTATGAGATATTAGAAATTTCACATGTAGCTAAAATACCAGATTCAGGCTTCATCAAATTTCCATCCAGCCACTTTATTTCCATAAAATCAATAAGTTCAAACCAGAATTCCTGGTGATATTTAACCACTTACACCAGAATAAAACAGTTAATGTCATTGACCTGCTTTTCATGCATAACCCTCACATTTGGAACGGGGTTGATAGTAATTATTACTTATTAAACTTGTTTGGTTTAGTTCAGACATTTGTTCTACTTTAACTCCTACTTGTGTGGAAATCTCCAACGGGAAAAGAGAAAAAATATGTTTGGGGAGAATAGAAAGGAACAAAATAAGGAGGATTAAAGGACTGATACCAACTTCCCATTAATCAGTATTTAGATGGTTGAACATGATGATGGGCAACAATTCATTCATTAAAACTTGTTCTGTTTTATTCAGGTAAATCATGTGTTCATTTGTTATACGTTCCCTTAAGCTAGATTTAAAAAAAAAAACTTTTAATGTGTTAATCAAGCTAAAGCAATGCCATTCATGCCTATTAGTGAGGAATTTTAGCTGTTTACTAAAATGGTTCAAGAACTGGGAGGAAAAGAGAAACACAGGAGAACAGTTTACCTGGTGGCAGAGAGGGAAACACTGCAGCGGAGAAATAGAGGAAGAAACAGAAAGTGTGAGAAGAATGGATGAAAAAAGTGAGATATAAAATGAAGAGCGTGCAGAGAAACGCATGTGGAGGGAATTTACAGACCGCAGCAGGAAAGTTCATATTTAGTAAAGTCAAATTCATGCATTTTTTAATTTAAAAAAAGAAAGAAGTGTGTTTCTGGTGGTAAAGATTGGTTTAGTCACTTTTGCTTTAGACTCTCAAACAATTAACCTCAGAAACAAATAAGATGAAATACGGTTTCCCTCCGTCAACAAATGATTCTGGGAATTATTTTAGATTAACACAAAGTTTTTTTGGGGACAATTTCAGCCAAATGTATTCCTGATAATCAGGATCAAGGATCCCCTAAACAACATTTCTGACAACATGTAGAAAGTTAAAAAAGAAAGAACTATCAGCCCCTAAAATAAAGATATTTTAGAACAGATAATTTCTAAGGCTTTGGGACTTCACGGAGAGAAATTGTTCACAAATGTAGAAAAGATGGAGGATACTCCCAAAGAGGCTGCAGACTTTTCCCCAGTTAATGTTCATGTTTTATTATAATAGAAATACCAGAAATAGAATCAGTGGGAGAGTTAAATTAACTGGTGACAAAACAGAAAAGAAAAGCAGAACAACATATGCTAAAAAAAAAAGAAGATCCGTCCAAAACTTCAGCAGAATATCTCGCTGACTGACGAGACAAAAGTGCTATTTTGTGAAACTTTAATGTCTTTAAATTAGGCTCAGAACTAAAATGTCATCTTAGAAAAAAAAAACAAAACACATTGACCAAAAGACAAATCTGCTGGTGTTAGCGTGTTAATCCCAGACCAAAGACCAGAACCGCGATCTGAAGCATCTCAGCTCTCAATAGCTCAGAAAGAAAGAAACAGGCCATTCAAATAAGAACTATAAAAATAAACCAGTAAAACTTTATGCTTCTTCATTCAAACCACAGCGATCATAAAACCAATAACTAAAGCTCAGGTTTATCAGGTGGAAAATGTGTTTTCACCTTAATCCAAGTGGGAATGGATACCTGCATTACTTTAATAATAAAAATAATCAACGTTTGCAAAGTGAGATTTAGATCTACTCGGGTTATTCTGTCAGAATGAATTCAGCTACATTTAAAAAGAATAAATAGATAAAAGAGGACGAGGTTTCTCACAGCTCGGCTGGTAGATTTAAGGACCGCCGGTTAATAGGAGCTTATCTGTAGAAACATAAACTCACCTGTTGGTTGTTAACATAAGCCAGGATTCCTGCAGTGATTTCCAGCAGGAAGATAGAGAGCAGCAACACCAGATACTACAGAGGAAATACATGAGAGCAAAAGAAGTCAAGAGTCTTTATCCTTTTGCTAGATCAGCGCATTTAAAATGATTCAAAAGAAGGTTTAGAGATAATTAAAGACTAAAGAGGATGAAAAAAGCAACAGTTCTTTTAAACCAATCAACAGGAGGAAGGAAAGGAGAGACTTTAAAAAAGGCAGTGGTTTAAAAATAGACATGACGTGTTTCTGGAAGATTGCTTTTGTATGAACAGAGGCGTCATGTAACAAAACAAATACTGTGTTACTCTAAGTAAAAATGTTGGTGATCTATACTTTAATGGAGGAATTATTTCTTTCTACTCCTTACATTTTAAAAATAGACTCGTTAGTTTTATTTCATTTAAGCTCATTTTCATTATGGACGGTTGGTATTTAAAAATAATTAAAACCATCAAAATAATCAGTTTCATCCAGACAATTAATTTCTTTGTAGTTGGACCCAGTGCTGCCCCAACTTGTTGCTCACCACATAACAAAGTAAATTGTTTTCTTGAGATGATGCAAATTAAATTTGACAACATAAGTTCTACAACTAAGAAAATGAAGTCTAAGGAAGTTATCAACCAGAATAGTAGAAAACTGTTCCTTTAACAGTGTAGAGCAGTAAAGCTTCTGATCTTAACAGTTTGTCCTGCGTTACTTTTACTTTCTTACTTTTAGTATCTTCTTAAAAAGGTGATTTTAAGCAGCAGGATTCATACTTCTACTGGAGTAATAAACATGGATCCTCCATAATGTCTGGTCTCACTGAGTGTGTCTGCTCCTCTCCCTCCCACACTCTGAGGCCTGAGCGGCCGCTTGTGATGCTCCTCATTCTTCTAGCATGAGCCCAGCTCTAAATCTACTCTTAAAGACACACGCTGCATGGCTTTATCTGCTCCATGTGACCAGTGCAGAAAATCACACACAGTTACCTTTCAACACACAGTATTCAAACTCTTCCTCTGCTGTGAGGAGAAACTGGACTAGAAATGCATGTTGGGCGTATTAAGCAGGAAATGGTGACCAATGTAGGCCTCTGTGTGTTTTTAGTCGCCATCTTACCACAATCAAGAGGCTCCTCCTCTCCTTCAGAGTGGCGCAGCATCCGATCATCCCAGTCACAATCACGACGCCTCCAGCGGCGATCAGGATGTAAGCAGAGGCCGAGTAGAAGCTGGAGTTCAGTAAACTGATGTAGTCGCTGTTTTCCACCAAAGTCCACACCCCCACCGCCAGCATGGCCCCCCCGCCCAGCTGAGAGCAAACAGAAGGAACCACGTCACCTGAAGAACCTTCAGCCTGAAAACCTCTGAACACCTGAGATTTATTTATCCATAAAATGCAAGGAAATAAATTCACTTATGTTGATGGATGGATGGATGGATGGATGGATGGATGGATG